ACCAAAAACCTGCCATGATTTTCCAACAGAGATTTATATGTTTTCATGATAAAATTCCCCTCTATTAAGCAAGCTCTAAGCACTCCACCGAATGAGTCATGTTTTCATTTATAAGGAAAAGCAATAGTCTGGTTACTAAAAACTTCATTTCTGATAATGACTTTGAAAACATAATTCTAAGAAAACTTAATTCTTAATATGAGATATACAAATATGTTCTTCCCAAGTTAAAAAATGTGATGACAAAGTATTATACAACTGTGAAAATTTGAAAATTTAGTAAAGGTAAAAGTACCAGAAGAATTTTACCTTGGAAAATCCTAAATTATATTTTCTGTATAGAGAAGCATAAGGCACTAAGCATAAAGCTTGATTAACTCAGTAAGCTTTGATCGGGGAGGAAGGCAGCCACTATACCACAAACGCCGGCTTTTTTGATCGGGGAGGAAGACCTTCCCCTACCCTATGGTCCTTCTAGCTGGACTTAGAATCAAATTGACACGAGACAGATTCAGTGGGGGAAATAAAATTTAATAGGTGTGCAGGCAGGGAATCCATACAAATATGAAATTCCAAAGACAATGAAGCAACATGAAGCTTTTATGAGCAAGGAGAGGGGTAGGTGTGTGAGGACACAAAGGGGAGGAAGGCCATTTCCAGGAGGGTGAGAGGAGATATTTGGAAAAACAAAGGTTGCGCTAGTATGCAAGTAAGTTTCTTAGGTAAAGGGGAGTCTCTGTTAATAGCTCTCTTCCTGGTGTAGACTCTCCTTTCCAATATATTTAGGCAGCTGTGGGGGAGGCAGAGAGGTTTTCCTGCATCTGTTGGGTTTTGATTACTTTCTTTTTTTTAAATATTTATTTATTTATTTGACAGAGAGAGAGAGAGGGAACACAAGCAGGGAGAGTGGGAGAGAAGAAGCAGGCCTCCTGTGGAGCACAATCCCAGGATCCTGGGATCATGACCTGTCTGAAGGCAGACGCTTAACGACTGAGCCACCCAGATGCCTCAGGTTTTGATTACTTTTAACTCAAAATAATCTTTGTGCCAAAGTGGCCCATCTTGGGGGCAGTGTGCCCTTGGTCCCTACACCTTCAATAACTACCTGTCAGATATGGAAAATTTCATTATTCAACTAAATATACTAAATTTCAGTAATCCAAATTCCACGAAGATATATTTGGATGGCTAAATAAATTTATGCTCTGATGGAAAAATCTGTTTCATAAGATCAACCGTGAGGATTTCTTAGAACATCTAAATTTTTGGCTAAAATTTTTGGTTTTTATTAGAAGAATAGATAATGTGAGGACACTGCTTTGTGAAACTATAAATTTTCATCTGGCTTTCACTCATTCAAATTATGTCTTATGAACAAACCTGGCTTATGAAAAGGGGTGTTTTTTGAGGACTTCTTTAGGCAGCTTCTCAACAATATGTGGCAATGTTTTTCATGGCTTGCATGACCCACTCTTACCCCAAGAGCATATATATAGGAGATACTAGCTTTGGAAAAGAATTTTAAATTGCATTATATTTGGTAATTATTTGACTTCTCCCTAAATTTGAAGAATAACCATTTTTT